AAATATTTTCATAAATCTGGATTTGGTATGTGGACGCATCCCGTGGCAACCTGGTTAGAGGACACCGTCCAGGCCAAGGGAATATTGCATGTGTAGAGTAACACAAGTACCGGTATGGTCTACCCTTAACATAGCACAATTAGAATATAGCACAACCTCCACCAATGTAATCCAATTTTAGGGGTCAGCATTGATTTAAGATAACATTAATGTACAATATATATATATATATAAAATATACAGAGTTTTAGCCCAACTTGAAGAGTTTTTTATGTGCATGACAACACTTTAGTTCAGGCCTGCACAACTCAAAATGCAAGGCGGGCCATAATACTTTATGAAAAACTTGTGCGGGCTAAAAGAAAATAGGACAGGACTTGTGCCGGTCAAAAGAAAATAGGACAGGGGGGAAAAGCTATTAAGAAAATAATAAGAATAAAGAATATTTCGTTACTTCACGGTCGCACGTGGGCCGTATGTTGTGCAGGCCTGCTGTAGTTGAAATGTCTGACTGTGAGAAGGTATCTAATAAATTCAAGTAGGAACAAATAAATCTCTGAACTGAAGCTAACACACAACAGACATGTTCAAATATAGTAATTGCACTTATTGAAAGAGATGCAGAAATATCAAAGGGATATTATCAAATCGCCAGGAAATGGGATATTATCTTATCCCAAGGGAAAAGAGATATTATTTCCAAGGGAAAAGAAATATTATCAAATCCACAAGGAAAGGGATATTATCAAATCCATAGGGAAAAGATATATCAAATCCCCAGGGATATTATTAAAGCCCAGGGAATAAGGATATTATCAAATTCCCCAGCAATAATAGAATTATTTGCAGACAACAGTGTAGTTAGTGTTTTACAAACACAAGCGGTTATTGAAATGAAAATATATAAACATGTTTCATGGCGAGCAGGAAAATGCAGAACAAGTACATAATTATTTCCTCTTTTTAAAGCAACATTATTAATGAACTTGACTAGTAAATAGACCAAATATATCTGCAACTATATAAATATGTGTGATTAGATTGTATTTTTGTTGCCTTTTATTGCTTTTTTTTTTTTCTAAATAAGAAATTATTTTATTAGGACTGCACACCAGTCAAGTTAAGGCATCAAAGCTGACTTATTAGGAAAGTAGATCATGGTACAATAGAATACATGTTCAGTCACAAGGCATGTAGGTCATGGATCAATGGAATAAATGCTCAGTTACAGGGTATGTAGACCAGGGAACAATATAATAAATGCTTAGTTATAGGGCATGTAGACAATGGGGAAAAGCTGAGTTAAAACCATGAAAAAAGCTGTGTTATATAGCATGGAAAATTGGCTGTAATTTTAAGATAATCCACTTGTCTATGTCAGTTAATCAAATGTCCAAAAGTCTAAATTTTTCCCCTTAAAATCTCAAACAGCCTGATTCTATCACCATCAAATGTCCAACAGACTCTATCACAATTTCAATAGCCTCAATTTAACACATTTAAATAGAAAGGGTTAACATTTATAAAACAAATATAGTATGAAAAATGTAAACAAAAAAAACAACAACAAAAAACAGTGATCACAACTTTCAATAAGTCATGGGGTGTCAATCTTCCCGCCGAGTTCTATGGTCTGAAAAGTGACTGACAGACAATTTTCTTTCAGATCAGAGGTTCTTACACCAGGTCATGACGCGATTGCAAAGCATTGATTTTTGTTATAATTTGGATCCAATAATTCATTAAATCCCGCAGTGTCCAACAAGACACCAATAATTCATTAAATCATGCAGTGTCCCAACAAGACACCAATAATTCATTAAATCACAGTGTCCCAACAAGACACCAATAATTCATTAAATCATGCACTATCCCAACAAGACCTGTTGAGCTACTTACAATGAACTTTTTCAAATACCTCATGACCTCCAACTAAGCACCACAGTTTTTTGTACGTTACTGAAAACATTTTTTTGTTTTTTTATTATAGTAAAATTACATTATTATAGGGAAAATATTTGAACTCCTCATAATGAAATCTTCAGTACCGGTACAGATGTTGGAATGTTTAGGTTTGGATCAACATTTCACATTATGAAGCTCCAGATAAAATTAGTATCCCATTTTTTTGGTCTCCAGTAAAATCTCATTGTGGAGGATAAGACCCTGTCATTGTGACACTCTAATGTAGAATTAGCATTAAAAATTAAAGCCATATTAATTTCTTTTCAACTTTAGAGCTAGCTTTGTTGCATTCATTTACAAGAAGATGGCAGATATGAGACAGCAAAAGCTTGGAGCCATAAGTAACTTGAAAACACCATTGTCAGCTAAAGTAGGCTAAAGCAAACAGATGACTAGTAACAAGCAGCAACAATATACATCTACAGGAAGACTTAAAGATTTGGAATGATGATGCAAAGAATATTGCACAATATACAATATGTACGTAAATATATTATAAATGTTCAAACTATATAACATTAGGGTAATACAGTTAGCACTGAACAAAGGACAAGACCAAAAATTATTTTTTTAATAAAAAAACAATATCACAATTTGTTATAAAAATTTCTATCAGACCCAAATGATTGTCTATAAGAGCCTAAAAATAGCCTCTGACTGTCTATGAGAGCCCAACCTCAGTCAATGAGAGCCCAACCCCAGTCCAAGAGAGACTAATGACTGTCTATGACACCCTAATGACTGTCTATTAGAGCCTAACAACTGTCTATGGGAGCTCAAAAACTGTCTATGAGACAATAACGACTGTCTACGAGAGCCCAAACTCTGTCAATAAGAACCCAACCACTTTCTAAGAGAGACCAACCATTGTTTGAGAGTCTAAATGTTGTCTATGAGACCCTAATGACTATCTATGAGAGCCTAACAACTGTCTATGAGAGCCCAACCACTGTCTATGAGACCCTAATGACTGTCTATGAGAGCTTAACAAACAATTGTCTATGAGAGCCCAACCACTGTCTATGAGAACCTAATGACTGTCTATGAGAGCTCAACCATTGTTTATGAGAGTCTAAATGCTGTCAATGAGACCATAATGACTGTCTATGAGACAATAATGACCGTCTATGAGAGTCTAGTGGGATATTAATATCTGTACAAAACAAATACAAACTGAAGCTGTTCTTGTGATTGAAATCTCAGCCAACACATGCTGGAAAATACTTCATCAATGAAATAAGCTTCATGTCTGATAGAACAAGGAAGTTTGTTACATACAGTTATATCACAAAGATAAATAAAGGTCTCTCTTTTAATGTAGAAGATTAAAAGGCACGAACAAGTGTTTTGGTGAAAGTACAGAGTTTAGGGTGATAAATATATAATTGATTTTCTTGTGTGGGATGTGCTGTGCCTACCGAGACAAGACAACATGTGTCTAGGTATATGCATCTCATATGTGCAATATGTATAAATAGTACTAATGATTTTATGGCTGGGCCTAGCGAAATGAATGATGTTAATTAAAATGATGATGTAGGAATTTAAAGAGAAATGCAGATTTTAAGATTTAATCACGTATTGTAGAAATATTTGTGATTGAAATAGCTGAGAAGCTGGCAGATAACTACAGAGTATAGCTTCTGGATACCCCAGTAACACCACATAGTTACCATAGCATCACCAGCATACATTCACTATAGTAATTTATATAACCATACAGTCAGTACTATATTATCGATCACCTCAGTATCAACACCACATAATCACCTTGTATTCACCATAGTATCCCCACCATAAAATCAATCACATTATTTAAATTATCATAATATCAAAACCATATAATTAGCTTAATTATATTCACTATGTTATCACCACCATACAATTAGACTACCTAAAAATGGATGAGAGTAAAATTAATTTTTTTTTCTAAAATTATAGATTTGTATACATTAAAGGTATTTCATTTTTACAACAGCAACATGAACAAATTAAGTCTAAAACTTATAAAAACTCCTAGCAGAATAAAAAGTGTATATATATATTATGTAAATTTAATGTATACTTATTTGTCTTGTTGTTGTACTGATGAAGGCATGTGCCGAAACGTATACTTTTGTATTCTGTAAAATTATCAAAGCTTACCTTATATTGTTATATTGACACAAATTGTTGTCTAATTAATCTAGCAGAATAAAGGAACGTTTTTGAAATAAGATGAAACAATTAAAAAACAGTTGCAAAATAATCTATGAGAATTGAATGACTGTAAATGTAAAATAAATACTTCAAATATGAGACTAACACAAAAAAGTTATCATTGACCTAAAAAAACAAAATTTTTTAAAATTTAGTTATTTCAACCTAAAAAAACGAACATGTGCAATTAATTAATAATAGATAAGTAAAAGAAACAAAAATCAAAGTAAGAGGTTCAAATTTGAAATGTTTAAACTAAAAATCAGTGGCATCATGGTTAGTAGTACATTTTTTATTAAGGAAAATTCTTTCCTGGTCAAGTTAGTCATCATGCAGCTTGGTACATCAAGGAATTGTCTTTGTAATCACAGTTAGAGTTTCTGTTAGTGAAAATTGGAGCTTTGACCAATCAATAACATTGATTTACAACAAAAAATATAAGCGACTAGAGTGAGAGAGAAATATGCAGTGGCAACCATGAAAGACTATATAATGGATGACTGTAACACATAAATATTATGAAGTTGTTCCTGAATTATACTAAAGATTAAATATGTTACAGAATAGTTCATGGACCAGCCAATCAACTAGAAAATGACACACATTTTGTACTAACACATTTGCCTATTGAATAAACACAAGATGAGCTTATTATAAATTACCAAAACTACATTGGTTGCCCTACAGCTAAAAAACATATTGTCCGTCCTACCTCTAATCCTAAATTATATTAGATAAGGAATTCAGTTAACACTTGGCAACTGAATAACAACAATCTTTAAGAGTTTTCATTTAAGTTTTCACAACAGCCAATATATTCAGCTATAAACAATCTGTGTCAATAGAGTGGTGGCCATGTATGACAGAGATGAATTTCTTGTATGATTGCCATTCACATGATTTACAGCATAAATTGTGATGAATGAATTTATCTTGCATTTCAATAAATTATTTTTTGGTCATTGTAATTGATGTGATTCAATAATTATTTTTAAAAATATAAATGATTAAATGGTGTTATTGAATCTTCACAATTAGTTTAAAAACTAATGATTGAAAGTCATATCATAAGAGCAATTTTCTAATGATGAATAAATCAAAAGTTCTATTGCTGGATTTAAATAAGTGACTGCCTATCGTGTTCAACAAATGTCCATTTGCATGGAATTGTAATGGAATGTCCTGATTCTTGGCAGTCTAAGTTCAACACCCTTGCTACAACGTCTTATCCTCCTCCTCTTCCAGCTCGGGGTGGAGATGTGTCAGGAGAAAGTAGGCCACATCCTTGTTGGTCCAGTAGGAAGTATGTGACGTGAGCACGGACAGGTAGCTGTTCTCCATCCTTTGCTCCTTAAGCTGGAAGTCCATGCGGTATTCTAACTCTGGAACAGGAACTTAATAAGTGAGCTACCAACACATTAAATGACAAAATTCTTACTTAGGGTTTTTCAACTTATTCCTGGTCATGCATGTCCTTAAGCCAAGGATGTTTTCTTGTAAATAATCAAATGATTCTTTGTTTTAATCATATTTCAGTGAAAAAACAGTATATTTTTTATTGAGCCTTACAGAATAGCAATTTTAGGCTAGGAAAAACAAACAGCTCTGAGAATTTCCTCTCTTATATTTTGTTCAGTGGAAAGCTAAGTCTCCCATGTGCTAGTTTTGCCTTTTTTTTTTTTTTTAAAATTTGATTTCTAATTTTTAACTCATCTTTGGGCATAAGCCAAAGTTACTTTAAAATTTTAAAAAAAATACCAAAGGTAATGTTAGAAAACAAAAAAAAATCTCAATGTATTTTAAAAATTTTTTTTTTTTTTAAACTAATTTTCACATATAATATTTTTTTTTTTTTTTTTTTTTTAAAATTTGATTTCTAATTTTTAACTCATCTATGGGCATAAGCCAAAGTTACTTTAAAAGTTGAAACAAGATACCAAAGGTAATGTTAGAAAACAGAAAAAAATCTCAATGTATTTTAAAAATCCCAAATCACCTAAAAATAACAAGCACAAAAGGAATGTGGTAACATCAGACATTATCCCTTGGTAAAAAATTCAAGGCTATGTTTGCCAAAGGTTAAATGACATGCAGATATCATGATTTCCAAGGAGTATTTCAAATAATGAATAGCAAGAGCTCATCAAACTTTATTGTAACAGGACTAACAGTAAAATGTTCTCTTTAGACTTGAGGTTGTGGCCTCAATCTGAAATGTTTTGTTCAATAACAATATCCATACCAGTAAATAATGTAGTTCTTTTATTAGTTCCATTTTTGTTTAAATATGAACTTGTCTCATTAATATTGTTCTATTATTAGTCATATGCCATCAGTTCTAAGTTTATTATCATTTGCTCTTATTTCAACTCTTGTGATTTCTAAGATTTTATTCTAATTTTTTCTATTCTTATTAGTTCTGTCTACGATTTTATGTGACCAAAAATGACATTTGCACTAATACATTTACATTGAGCCCATGCCAGACACATTAAATTGAATATGGAGCCTGGTATATTGATGCTCAACCCTGAGAAAGGTTATAAATCTGACACATTGATTGATAGTATGGCTGTCAAATATTGCACACAAGATTTCTGTCCATATCTAAATTAAAACTACCAAAAGTTGGATAAAAACCTCTAGAAATCTGATTTTCTCTTTCAAAGAAAACTTTTGACTCTTATAATAAAAACCTTTCAAATTAGGAGCTTAGCCGAATATATATAGTTGTTGGCCAAATAACTATAAGAAATGTATTTAAAAAGATATGTGGACATTGGGTAAACTAGATGTTCAATGCCAAGGTCACCAAATGCTTTTAGCTTTTTTAGAAAAGGGGGAAAATAAAAACTCTTCATCCATCATTCGCAAGGAACGGGCATAAATTTTATTTTTATTTCAAGACTCCAGGGAAAACAAAAAAGATATAAAGTATGCAAAACCACCACCACTGCCCACACCCAAGATAAGCACATTCAGATTATGTTATGGCTTTCATGAAAGGCCTGTGGTTATTATCTAATTAGAATCAAAACCACCACCACTGCCCACACCCAAGATAAGCACATTCAGATTATGTTATGGCTTTCATGAAAGGCCTGTGGTTATTATCTAATTAGAATCAAATGACATTTTCAAACACTTTCATCCCAACAATTAGATTAAAAATGATCTGTTGACGGCTGCATGCTTGTACAAAATTGCACAATACAATTGAAGGAGGATTTGCCAGTTTTGCATCTAAACTTTAAACAAAAAAATAACTGTTTAGTAAATAATCTTTTGAAGATTAATTTATTGCATCCAGCACGCCAGTAGGCAGTTCATTTTATTCAGAAAATGGCAGGTGCTCCACATAATCAGACTGAATTGCCCTTAACAGAAGCAGGTATAACGTTTTTCCTTCAATGCAATGACATTTGATGAGGCTGATAAAAAGAGTGAAATGCTTACTAAACAAGTGTGCCAGCATTGCTAGAGAGAGAGAGAGAAACAGACACACAAGGTGTAAGGCTGTAGCTGTAAGCCATGATAGTGAAGGCTCTGTATCAGTGACAGCTATATATCATCAGTGACAGCTATATATCATCAGTGACGGCTATATATCAGTGAAAGCTACGTATCAGTGACAGCTATATATAAGTGACAGCCATGTATCAGTGACAGCTATGTATCAGTGACAGCTATGTATCAGTGACAGCTATGTATCAGAGTGACAGCTATGTATCAGAGTGACAGCTGTGTTTTAGAGTGACAGCTGTGTATAAGAGTGACAGCCGTGCATCAGAGTGACAGTGTACCAGCAGCCAAGTACCTTGTTCTGATGGTCCAGTCCAACAACTTCAGCATGCTAGTTTTGCTTTGTTTTTCTGTAATTTTCTCTTTGAACCTGATAACTGTCCCAGCCCCTTGTTATCAAAAGTTAACTGTCCCAGACCGACGGAGTGGTCATTTTGTCTGCCCAGGGTTTGAACCTGGAAATGTCAGAATGCTGTCCTATTCTTTATGAAATTCCAACTATTTTATGTCACAGAGACCGTGTCACAGGAAACTATGTCACAGAATTAAAAAGAACCTATGATAAAGCAATTTCTTACATTAAAAATAACCCGCTCAATATGCATTTTGTACAAATTAAGAATAATTCACTTATTTAGAACTAATAGAATTTAAATTGTTAAAAGTGACAAAAGTCCACATCTTAGTCAAATGTAAAGAAAATCCTATTATTAAAAAAAAATGCAGAACTGAAGACAGAGAAAAAATAAAATATTCAATCAAATTCAATTTTCTAGAACTTCCCACTCTTAATATATAGTCATTATTAATTATTGATGAAGTTTTCTTAGAATTGTTATTTCCAACCTGTTTTATCCATTTGGTCAGTGTCAGGGTACGCAAGCTCTCTTGGGATCTGGGTTTCAGAAACTTTCCCCATTTTATTCAACATCTGAAGTTCAGCAGACAACTTCTCTGCTGTATCTTTTTTCTTTCTGTTATTGAACCAACCAGCTGCACGGGAGCAAACAAGAAACAGACCTGTTTAACACTTGATCACACGATCAGAATCAATTGTTAGCAATTTAATTTTTAACGGCTTATTCTCATTCAAATGCGAATCAAGCACTCACAAAGCGAGAATTTCTTCACAGAAGGGTCAATGCCCCCTTCCTCCCTCCCACTGCCCTCTCCACTGTCCTCATCCTTCCCAGATTTGTCTTTCGTCAGTTCATCAATAGCACCGGTGAATGCAGCATAGGCCCTGCTTGGAATCTTGGAATAAGGCAGCTTCTTTGGGGCAGAAAAGTGGTGAATTTGTAAAGGCATAATGGTTGAGTAGTGCTTCAGGATCAACGGTTCAAGCCTGTAGGCCTAAGTGAAGATAAAACAGAGTCATTTGTACTTGATAGTAGATAACTTTCAAGTGTAGCCGGTTAATAGTATTTTTCTTTTCAGTCACACCATTATTTAACTATCAGTTTTCAAGCAAAAGAAAACATCGTTTCAGCACCTACTGACTGACATAAAGTGACCCAACAGTTTCTAGAGCTTTATTGTGGCCAAGGCAAATCAAGGAATTTAAAGTTACTGGATATAAAAATTCATCTGCTAAACATATCATCATCTGGTGCTCCCAGCTTCACCACCCAGAAGAAAATATGCAAAGATTTTAATATTCTTCGTGTAGGTTGTTTTCATCTATTGAAAAATGATGGTTGTTCGGCGATCCAAGTTTTCATTATTTAGTAAATTTTTACAGAAGCAACGTGTTATTCTTAATTTTGTTAAATTCTTCTAGGCCTTTTCGAATCCCAGTGGAGCACCAGCCATGAACAATAAGTGTCTATGCCTTACTGTGTCTTGCTATCTTCTCTTTCCAACTCTTTCTGGTTTTAGTTACGTCTTTGTCTACCTCTCTTGGCCCGATATTTTTGGGTGGGCCACGTCCTCTTGTTTCTGAGGGTTTAGAAAACTGGTCAAAAAACCTCTGGTACTTACCACAGGGTCAGACGGATGGAAGATATTGAACAGGTGTTTGCATAGCGTGCATGGGATGATATGGCTGGATGAGCCACTCCCCTGTGGACGTACTCCCCTCAGAGCCAAGAACACTGCCAGTGGTGAACCAATACTGAATAGATTTTCAACCTGCTCAGAGTGAGAGATGGTGGCATGAGAGATGGCGGAGTGAGGGATGGTGGTGTGAGAGATGATGGTGTGAGAGATGGTGGCATGAGAGATAATGGCATGAGAGATGATGGTGTGAGATGATGGTGTGAGAGATGATGGTGTGAGAGATGGTGGTGTGAGAGATGGTGGTGTGAGAGATGGTGGTGTGAGAGATGATGGTGTGAGAGATGATGGTGTGAGAGATGGTGGTATGAGAGATGGTTGGTGTGAGAGATGGTGGTGTGAGAGATGTTGGTGTGAGAGATGATGGTATGAGAGATGTGGTTATGAGAGATGGTGGTAAGAGAGATGGGGGTATGAAAATCTATAAGTGCACATGTGAAAACTCAGTGAGCAAAGATAAAAAATTTAAATGACACTAACAATTTTGTATGATTTAATTATTCAATCTAAGTTTTATATGTGTGTGTCTATGTAAATTTACTCCAGGAGCTTGGGTATTTTAGGACCAGGAGCCCAGTGGCGTTGGTATTTTAGGACCAGGAGTCCAGTGGCGTTGGTATTTTAGGACCAGGAGCCCAGGGGCGTTGTTATTTTAGGACCAGGAGACCCAGTGGCGTTGGTATTTTAGGACCAGGAGCCCAGGGGCGTTGTTATTTTAGGACCAGGAGCCCAGTGGCGTTGGTATTTTAGGACCAGGAGCCCAGTGGCGTTGGTATTTTAGGACCAGGAGCCCAGGGGCGTTCCATAAAATCCTGGTCCTCGGGTCGGGCGTGGGTATTTTAGGCCCAGGAGCCCAGTGGCGTTGGTATTTTAGGACCAGGAGCCCAGTGGCGTTGGTATTTTAGGACCAGGAGCCCAGGGGCGTTGGTATTTTAGGACCAGGAGCCCAGTGGCGTTGGTATTTTAGAACCAGGAGTCCAGTGGCGATGGTATTTTAGGACCAGGAGCCCAGGGGCGTTGTTATTTTAGGACCAGGAGCCCAGGGGCGTTGGTATTTTAGGACCAGGAGCCCAGGGGCGTTGGTATTTTAGGACCAGGAGCCCAGGGGCGTTGGTATTTTAGGACCAGGAGCCCAGGGGCGTTGTTATTTTAGGACCAGGAGTCCAGTGGCGTTGGTATTTTAGGACCAGGAGCCCAGGGGCGTTGTTATTTTAGGACCAGGAGCCCAGGGGCGTTGTTATTTTAGGTCAAGGGTTTGAAGGTTTAAGCAAAAGTATTCCCTCAATAAATTAATTTTTTTGTGTGGAAAAAACTAGCTTCTGGATGAACTCATTTTTACAACCAAATGCTGTATTTGTAAGTCAGATGAGAACTTATGGATTTAAAAGTTAACGAAAAGAAAATGAGCCTCTGAGTAATTACAAGAATTCCATTTACATTTATATATAAAAAAAATTAAACAATAAAAATTAAGTGGAAAATAGAGACATAATTAATATTTATCAAAGAGAAATAAAAGTATAAGTTATCCATACACTAAATGGGAGGGACTTGGTTGTCTTTCCTTGACGGGCACGAATGGACTTCATCATTTCTTCTAGATCTTTAACTCTGAAAAAAAAAAATAATTCAAGGAGATTAAATGACCAAGTAAACTCCTGCACCACTGGCAACTGTAAGACAGATCATTCAAAATTCAACAGTTTCATGATCAGATGCCAGGACATAAAGTAGCTGGTAGCTACATCAATATTTTTTTTTATAGTTGAGTTTCATCTCATATCCTTCAAACCTCACACTCCAAATTTTTCTGGAGGTAAAACTTATTAAACTCAAGTTTATTAATTGCAGTGACATATTGTGTATCAAAGGTTTGATGGGTATTTTTTTTAAAAATTCTGTAAAGCAGACTTTCATTACAGGGCACTTACTTTTGTTTAGCAACGTCAACATCTTGCAGCACTTCATTATTACCTTTAGCATTTTCTTCTTCTTCAGCCTGTCAATAGATTTACACATTTGTTTACTTCATATTTGAAAGTCTCATTTACCAGGTAAGGCCACCTATATATTGTAATTAGCAATTGATTGCGGTGAAACATTTTGGCTATCCAATGATTGTTAGGATGTGTCTCTAAAGTGTGAAGGAGCATGCGAGTCAAAAGAATTATTAACATGTAAAAAAAACATCGGTTTAAAGTTAATGTAACGACTTATGATTGTATACGTTGACCACACTATTTCTTTAGTTGCTTATCCTTATAACTGAATATACGCATCCAGCATTGCATTGGTGACTTAGTGTTTTCCTGATAATTATTACGATAATTACTGAAACCATGAGGAATGTCCAATGGATTGCACCACTATATGTTTATTCACAATACGTTACAGATTACAATATAAAATAAATCTCCTGGTTGTAGTAATATAATTGTCAGGATCTTATGCACTTCATGTATTACATAATACACTCAAAATGGGCGATAGCTAGTCCGATGCCATGAGATATATAACTGCAAGGGCAACAACATTCATGAATCCAATGTGAACATCCTTGACCATATCCAAAAAGTCCCTTCCTCTCCTTCTGCGCATGACATAAAATTTAAAACTTATGTTAATGCTAAATTACAAAACAATTTATTATTGTAACAATTGAGCTGTTACAGTTAATTAAATATAACCAGTGCTACGGCACATTCCAGCCTGCATCTACATTGATGCATGATGTCAAACAGTTACTGTAAGGTAAGGAGGCAAAAGTCAGTTGATGACTTACCAACAAAGACTTCATGAGCTGGTCGTACAAATGGACAGGATTCCAACCAGTGATAATGTCAAAAGAGATCACAGCACCTAGCAGAGATATAGGTGAAATGTACAAAAAAAAACATGGAGGTGGTACTCAAGTAGTATATGCTATCTTTATATATGCCATCTTTACATATGCTATCTTTACAAATGCTATTTTTACATAAGCTATCTTTACATATGCTATCTTTACAGCATAGAAGTGTTCAAAATCTGCTGGTGTTAACAGCTGACACTGAACAGATTGATATTTCTCAACTATTTAATCAAGTAAAGTATATAAAAAGTTGTTTTTTTTTTTTTTAGTTTTCCATGCATGGCCACATTCAACAGCTACAGAGGCACATAGGACAAGGAATTGGGTTACTTCAATAAGCTAACTTAAAAAAACCAAAAAAAATTAATTAATTCGGTATTAGTAAATGTACCACAGCAAGCATTGCATTCTATACAGAAATATACAATATGCATGTACCCACAAGACTTATTATATTTACTCTGTGGTAATCTCCTATTCAAATACTTCCTATGTTTAAATATTTGTATGTTATAATTACAAAGGAACTTTCTATTAAACTGACCATATTCATGGAATTAAATTTATAAGAGAATGCAGTGTAAATTGAGAAAATGGTCTCCCAGGGAAATTAAATTTAGGTTTAGGTAAACAGCTGAATCATTTGATGGTACAACAAAAATTGCCAGAACAATATGTAACTTTATAAATAAGTACTGCAATGGGACTGCATTTGACTTGCTTTAGAAAGACAAGATGTGCTTGGTTGCAGTGCACAATATCAACAGTCAAGCCACATATCAGTTTCGTAACAGGTTATCAAATTCTGAAGAAAAGTTATTCTACTACACAATAAATATATTATTCATCTTATCATTCAGAAACAAAACAGTTCATTTTTGTTTAGCCTAGGCAAGATGTTAGTTATGATTATGTTTCTAGGGTTAGGGGTTACACCGTTGCTAGGCTAAGGGATTTCACAGTTATGTCTATCAGCTTAAGCTATATTTTACATTTATAAAACGGTGCGATACATTCTACTCCAGGCTAATCATGAATTTCTGGCTATCGGTAATACATGATGTATTAGAAACTTGCATTTAACACCTCTAATACAATGTATTATCATGCAGTTTATTATTTATCTAGCATCAGCGGTGTAACAAACAAAATTAATTTTTACATCTGATCTGAGTAATAGTAAGTAAATATTTTGTGGATAGGTAGCCCTCTGGATGCTACATGTCACTTAAGGCAGTTGTTACATCTCTGTCATGCAGCATCCTGTGGTATCTAACTAGCAAATAATCACCTAAAGAATGGGCAACAATGGAGACTTTGCCATTACTTGGCTCAAAGTAAGGGTGTCGTGAGCAGAACATTTGATACAGTCGGGAGAGCTCAGTTTTCAGGCTGTTGGTGATCTAGTGTTGAAACAAGAAATGATCAATGTCTAAAATTCAGAGGTGGATTTTGAACATTGGTTTAAGACAATTCGATAGCATACTGCTTTAAAACAAGTTGATAGAACATTTGTTGAAGTCACACTGATAGAACAGTGGTTTAAGACACATCAATGGAACAGTGTTATAAACATGTAGAACTCAAAAGTGGGTAATTATATATTTTATCCTATTTGACTATTAGCTTAAACAATTATTCCTATTTCATGTGTAGTTTAATGAATGGTTTATGTCCTTTGTGGTTCTACCTTAACACATATAGTTTCTATAATTAGCAATCATATCACTAGCAATCATGTCATTGTTCTACAACAGTTGTAATTTATTGTCATTAATTTTTATTTATGACTTGCTGTCAACCACATGCTGATGAATCTTCACTTTTGACTCTTGGTTGGACAACGGTCGACCAAGGTCTACGGCATTTAAGAAAAAATACGCTCTGAATAATAAATTAGTAAAGTTTTTGTGGAAAATAGGATAATAATAAATAGACTGCACCAAAGTTGTGTCAATGAAATACAAGAACAAGGTATGCTACACTTGAATTAATAGACAGGACAAAAGATTTGCACTTAAGTATTTTTTTTACTGTGCTCTGATACTTGTCATACTTCTTTCTGTCTAGTTTGCTGATGAAGGCTCTAAGCCGAAACATCCACATTTCCTTTTAGAAAATGGGACCATGAATTGCAGACACATTTTGTTAAAAATACAAACAATATATTTATTAAATACAATATAGCAGGACTTTCCCCAGAAGTGGATGTGCAGGTTTTTTTTCTAAAGACAGAACCAAATTCAAGTGCTCAACAGAGATAGGCCATAAGGGTTGAAATTAACAGGTGTTGAAATGAAATTACTTGTCAGGTACAAGAGTCAAAAGTGTGAGTTTATTGGCAGGTCAGCTCCTGGTACGGCCTAGAGCAGTAAAGTATGCTATTTAAAGTATAGAGTTAAAGTGAGTTGTTATATAAGGTCAAGAAAAGGTGCAGATCATGCATTAAAGCAGGGGACCAAATTTGAAGAGGAGATGTGTAATAATTAGATATAGGACATATATTTATTACACACAGAAAATATCAAATAACTTTTCAGATAACATAATCAGCTAATCTATCATTTGTGCTAGGGTGAAAATAGAGTGAGCTGAACGAAATATTCCACTACACTAAATATTTATGCAGTGTTAATATAATTTTATGTGCACACATGAACACTTTCACAAAGACGGGCACACAAAAGTATGAGACCCAAGCAAACATCAACATCTTCATTGTCAGTTAAGTGGATTAGTCACATTAACCCTTACATCAGTACAGAATGGGGTTAACTTGTTCCAGATGAAACCCAAGACAAACTTTTTGACCTTTAATAAACTGTTCAATAACATGGGTTGCAAATTCCAGTCTGCCATTTCAAGATGGACCCAATCGCTGATCAACAAGGGGTCAGAGCTCTGTTTGGGCATGGGGTGATGACAGCCTTCTCATTTTAAAATACTAAATAAATGCTAACTGGAAGTTGTAACAGTCAGGGTAATCCACCCATGTTTACATAAATCAGAACTGAGAAGTTTTTATATCTAAAAAAAAACCCAACTATCTCTACTCAACAGATGCATCAGTTTAGATATACTGAAGTCAAAATTTGGGAAATTATCAGACAGAATGCATTTATCCCAGGTCATAGGACACAGACAGAGCGGCAGATGGGATTAAAACATGACAGATAATTCAGTTAAGGGATTGGTGTTCTGACGGGTGGACATTTTCTTCAGGGTGTTGTTCCAAGTATTTGATGTATTAAATCTGAGTACTTTTTACTAGTCTAATAGTCATAAATTAGGGTGTTAGTTAATGATAAAACTGCTACTTCCCCAACACTGACCTCTGATCTGTACAAAGGACTTGTATAATACAACACATCCATGGCCGAGCTGTTGAGGACACTCCGCACACCTTTCATCTTGTGGGGAGTCACAGACTCCACTGTATCTGTAATGAAGACAAATAGAAAGTTAGAGGGAAAATCCCACTTGGTTGTAAAAGTGTTTTTTTAAATTAAGTAGCAACACAAGTAACAAATAAATTATGATTACTACATTTTTAAGATTAAATCACCCACAGTGTTTCCCAAAGTGTGGTCAACGGTCCCTAAGCCTTATATTGCTGGTCCTCACAACATGAACATTCATGGTTAGATAAAAAGATAAACTAATTATTAAATCTGGCACTGGTCCCTTGTGCAATTTCGAAACCTTTTAAAAGTTTGGGAAACACTGAACTAGATCACATATGGAATGAACAAGTCCATTCATCAAAAACACTGGTATAAAAATGTGTTGGAGTGGAAGCAAGCCAGTGCAAGCAGCTCCATTCTTCTTGCGAAGGGCTATTTTGTACTCTGGGGTAGGCCCACCTCAGTTGATCTTTATGGCCCTGGCAACATAATTCATCTTTTGAACAGTATCATACCACATTGATAAAATGTGTGACTTTTCTATTTCTCTTCAAGGTACAGCTTCAACAGTAATTAATGGCTGACCATTTTTTTTTCCAGTCTAGCTAGCCAAACCATAATAAATTATATTTCATATAATACTATATGCAACAAACATTTGTTATGCAAGTATGCTATCAGTAAACTAGGGCTACCTCCATCCAACTTAAGGGATGACCTCCACTGAACTGGAAGAAACTCTGCTCTCTGGCTTGTCCCATCAAATTCTGGAAACATTTTAGACCGCATGTATCTAACACGGTCTCTCAACCTGTGAAAACATAACTGCAAGTTTCATTCAGCAAGTTTCTCCACACAAGATCTCATCCAAACATTCATTATATCAACATCTTGTTCCCTATTGTTTTCAAGAGTTCTGAAGCATTTAACGATGTAATCATAATTTTTTTTCTTGATAAAAACTTTTCATATGATCAAAGGGGACTTCTATTTTGAAAATGCAACTACATCCACTTCTTGCTACCATATTTGATGTAATGCTGATAGATATATTTTTGTATCAGCTGAATGAATGGCACAAACGATTATACAAGACAATACATTTTTGTATTTTGAGCAGTGCATTGTAAAGATTAATGGAAAAAAGGTAACAACATAACTTTTGTAAATCAAAATTTCTTTTTCATGGCATTTTTCTGGTGTTGTATCTGAAACAAAATGAATTATCTGCTGCAATAAAACTTACTCTTTGGTGCATCGAACAATACTTCCAGTATCCATCTTCTGACCTATCCCGTGAATGACAAAAACAAGATGACATATGTCAGGTGGCTTGTCATCCATCACAGCTTCATAACAATACCCTCGATGTATGCGGGTTCCAGCTATTAAATGATATAATATGATTAGTATATATTATGACTGACTGAGTGACCAACGTTTTTGGCTACTAGGTCTTTTTTGTATAAAGTTCCCCATAAAAATTGGTTGACGTATCGACAATTTTTACAATGCAGCTTTAATTTGTACCAGTACCATATTATATGTGGTTCATTCCAGCACTTTTTATCTCTCTTATCTTGAAAGTATTAAAAACAGCTAGTATTGATGCAAACATTTTCTAAATGAATCTATATTGAAAAAACCCCCCAGATATTGAATTTTCTTACTGTATAAAACTGATAAAAAACTTCTTTCAGATGATGAACTCTCAAAACCAAAGAACATTTTATATGTACAGGTATAACATACATTTTTGCCATCCTAAAGACTGCCGAACATTTCGAATCAGTTTTGAAGAGGCTGATTCATTATATTTGTAGATTTCATTGGTTGCATTCCAGTCAACATGAAAGTCTTTAAATCTGATGTTGTGAATTACTGAAAAAACAACAACATAGGGATGATGCTTAAAAAATAGTGAAAAAATCATAGGTTTCATTCACACTGGATTTTATTGGCTCATTTTATAGTAAATCAACACCAATATTATTTAAGACTTTAGGGTAATCCTATGGATATCAGGTCGGTTCATTAACTATGGTTTATGTTTTAAAATAAGGTGTACGATTTTATGTTTTTATGTTAGAACATTGAAAATATGGCATGGAAAATCCAATAGATGAACTGGATCTTGATCAATTATCTTAAAACCATTAACTTAGCATAAGGTTTAAAGTTTTCAGGTAAGCAGAGTTCATATATATTTTTAATGGGTATGATGATACCTGGTTTTGGACCTTTCTGTGATTCTGGTGCTTCTTCAAGTCGCTTATCTTTGAACTTGCTAAGATGTTCAGCTTCGATTTCTGCTGTAAAACTTTCTTCCAGTGGTTGCCATGTGCCTTCTTCAAACCACAACCCTCTCAAGATGACTGATGGTTCTTCTGAAGAAGGCATTGAGAAAATGAAAACTTGTTGTAGAACTTACTGATAATACCTGGTTATTAATGAATGAGCTTAGTATAGAATAACCGTGAATTGAATTTCTACTTCTTGATTCAGTTAAAAAGAAAAATCATTATTTGTTTTTATTTTAATAATAGTGTACTTTAAAAAAAATTAAAAATGGGGAAAGAGGGTGGAGGTGGGGGGGGGGGGGGGGGGGGTTATTACCAGAGTATATATTCCAAAAAATGTCCTTAATAAAACCTCATTAAAAAAATTATAAACATTAAACTATTAAAATCCGCTCTTTCATATTTTAATGCAGTTTATGTTATATTTCTATAGAATTAACTTTATCCCAGGAAGAAAGACACTTTAATCCTGATAAGCAAAACCTTGGGAAATGAGAAAACCTAATACATTTTCTTTAAAAGCTTTTTCTGCTCTGTATGATAAATTAAAACCTGCTTACCTGACCAATAAACTGGCAAACACTTTTTCTCTTTAACATCAACTTCATACAGGCCACCTCTAACAAGAATTTTTTCATTTTCGTCTAGATCTCCATTTTCATTACTTAAATTAAGTGCTCTATATCTACATTCTATCCTAAGAGAATCATAACCTATAAATGCTATCCATTTTTTACCACCATCATATCTGTGAAACCACCGAATTTCCTCTGGTCGTAACTCTTCTACAAATTCTTTCTTAGGGTAAAGATAGCGCTTCTTACGACCAAGGGAATTGGATTGTGTCTCATCAAGTGCTATGGTATCAAATTCATCATCATCCTCGGATGATTTATATAAATTTTCTAGTGAAGGATAAATCTGTTCACTGTTAGAGGCATTGCTTGAAGAAGTTGAACTGCGAGACATTGTCATTCCTTCTACTTCTGATGAGGCAATATCTGCCGGTGAATTAAAGTCCATCATTTATTGAAGTCGGCGAACATGCCACAGCCAAAGGTATCATGCTGTAGTTGTTGTAGTGTATAATTTAACATTAATTTAAAGAGACTTAAGACGTAAGAGACTACTTATAAATTTTGTAATCAATAATTTAAAATAATGCTGGTTCAAAGCTTAAATCACTATTTTTCATTGATGACAATTAGAAGGCCTACTCTTTTATGTTAATTTATGTTTGTTTACAGTTACAGCTTGTTGACTTGAGAGTGATCACTGATGTCAGTGGAGTTGAGTGTTGTGACTTGACTTTTCACAAATCCCAATATAAAAATAGGTTCATTGAAATGAATAAAGATGTGTCAAATTTGAACCCTGACAAGTATATAAGAAAAACTTGAGGCATTTTGATCAAGCATACAATAGGATGGTCCCGATGGATAAGCTGTATACGTTTATTTTTTATGACAGCTGTCTTAGCTCAAGTCTTATTCATTAATGCTAGCTGATGTTTTATTAAAACTTTGTTGCAGCTTCTCAACTTCTGTGATTTCCTCATTAACCGGATGGAACAGATTTTTATTCACGTGAAGCCTGATTTATTGTTATGTTTATGTTTATCAAACATTAACAAATCAGTTTTAACAGCCATCAAAAGATTGTAGTAGAATGACATTCCTTCATTAAAATAGTATTGACCAAAAAGATTTTTTAAAAATTGGAACAGAAACAAGAGAAGAAGAATAAAATATATTTTTTAAATTGGCAAAAATATCAATTTTTAAATTATTATTAATTAAGTAATTCATTAAATTAGTACAACATAAAAAGCCATTGCCACAGTGCCACTCAAGTTTTATAGGTCAAGGGTTAAGGGCTATTACTCTTTTAATTCGTCGTGTGTTAACTAAGAGTTATCTACCGTAATTTTTAACTTGCTACGCACCGCTTTGATTGTAGGCCTAATAAAAAAAAAACACACATAAAAACAAAGTTTTCGTATAAATCCTTTATAAAATGTAATATTGATAAATGTGGGGGTGGGACTGAACATTTGACAAAGCATGAATTCAATTCACGCACTTTAAAATAATCCAAATTAGTGCTTCCCCCCCCCCCCCAAGTCTCACAACTCAGGTGACCCACCCTCTTTTACACCGCATATTTATTACACCAACTATTTCAGAAAAAAAAAAAACAACAACAACAAAAGAAAGTATTGCGCACTGAAAAAAGTTGATAGAATGTGTTGTGATCGACAAAGAGTCTATGTGCCAATTTTCAGCTCGATAGTGATAGGTTGACAGGAAGTGGGTCAATTTAGCTGCCCGAAGATTTTGCCACACAATCAGACAGAAAGAAAGAAACATACAAACAAAAACGAAGTTAATGTAGAGAATTTAAAAAGGAAACAAGTGTGTATAGTGCCGGGTTTACCTATAAGCTCAATAAGCTACAGTTTAGGGCCTCAGAATGTACCGGCTATTGATTTTTAATTTATCTATGCCCAGCTGATATAATTTAAAACAGTAGGTGGCCTCTGAACTCTGTAGGCTTATAGCTTAGGGCCTCAGCAAGTCTAAGTTCGAGAACTTCGTCAGCCAACAGTTCAAAGAATAAAAAATATTAAAAAATGAGCTAAAATATAGTACCCCAGAGACAGTGGTGTAGCTAGGACAGCTAGGGATAGTGACGCCTGGGGCACCCAAAGTTTTTGCCTCTCCCTTTCATGAAAAAATTGTTCAGTTGGCTGAAAAGACACCCGTGTAAAGAAAAAAGTGCCACCCAGCACGAAACGCCCATCCGCCCCCTCCCTACGCCGCTAAATAACAACAAGAGGGCGTAAAATACCATTATTAAACCATTATTATCCTCTAATAGTCAACGGTTACCGGAAATAAGATCGACAGACATTTCGTCGACAGAAAATTGATCAACGGAAATTTGATCGAACGGAAACTCGGTCGAATCTTTTTTTCAATTCACACGTCGTTAAAATTTTCGTCAAATTTCTTTTTGAACGCATTATTATATAGACTATACTCAAACAAGATAATGCGTTCAAATAGAAATTTGAAGCAAAATTTTAACGTGTGAACTGAAAAAAGATTCGACCAAGTTTCCATTCGATCAAATTTCCGTTGATCAATTTTCCGTCGACGAAATTTCTTTCGATTAAATTTCCGGATACGATAGTCAACGTACTAGTACGACCGAGATTTTGAGTTTAGTGAGATTTATTAATGGATCCGATGTTGTAGCCTGTGTTGGTGGAGCAACCCGTTGTGTAGTAACAAGATAATGAATAGCTCACTATTATTTTTTTATATATACAATGCATAAACTACTCTTAAATCTCCGAGGAGATGAAATTTAAAAGGGGATTGGGGGATGGGAACGGTCTTGTGTGGCACAGTGCTTCTTAATCTCCTTAGACTTCATTTGTGCAAGAAATAAAAATACTGCCCCCCCCCCCCCC